GACCACGTGCAGTAGCGTGTATCCTGACAGCTGATCTATGAGCATCTGATTTCGGTGCTCGCCAACCTGTTCGAGGACCTCTGTGTAACAGACATCATTCATCATTTTGAGTTGCTTGATGGCCTTCTTGTCTGTGACACCAATGAACTCTTGCTTCAACGGACACGGTCGGAAAGTTTCACATGGAAGTCCTTGTCCGGATTATGTGCGAGGCATGAGCCATCGTTCCGGTGGACTGCGGGGCAGAATTGGTATTCGCAGCTTCCGACATGGTTCTTAAAGAAGTATGGGTCTTTGTCGAGGTTAATCGTCTCGAGCGCAGCTTGCGCAGGCACTCTTATCAATCATCATTCGTTGCTGACTGTGAGGCGACACCACCGCCGAACTTGGAGCCTGCGCGGTTTTAGTTGTCGCATTGCTGATTAAGATTCGAAGCTTCCGACGTGGTCTTTGTCAAGGCCAATCGTCTCGAGCGCAGCTTGCGGCGGGCACTCTCGTCAATCATCATTCGTTGCTGTACTGTGAGGCCGACACCACCGCTGAACTTGGAACCTGCGCGGTTTTGGTGCTTGTGGTTGGCGTACGCGCGCGGAGCGTTGACGAACATGCGAATCTGGCAGGCAGAGTTCATGCTTGAAATTTCCGTCAGGCATTAGGTCGCCATTGATGTCACTGCTGCTCTCATCGAAGCTTCCGACGTGGACTGTCGTGTGGCAGAGACATGTGATGATCATGACGCAGTCCTTGACTAAGGTGTACACGGACGGTGTCTGCTGAACGTCGTAGGACACTCTCGTGTGGTCGACCCCGATAGTGTACCGAAATTGTATGGGCTTAAGGCAGGTAGAGGTCTTGGAGATGTTGAATGCAAAGCTGCTGAGGGTGCGCTTGTGCATCTTGATGTCGTGCGAGCACTTCAGCAAGCGTCTGCCCGTGTCCTTGGGTGCCAGCATGATCTTCGACCAGGTTCTGGTCATTCTATCGTATGGGCCTGTCCTCAGTATGTCCGTAGAGGTCGTCGCAGCACCGTTCGTTGGCCGGTGCCAGAGCCTGAAATAGAGTGTAGAAGGGTAGGGACGAGAGATGCCGCGAGGTGCTGTAGCCTGTGCGGGAGGTGTTAGTCCGAGTCTGTCATCAGAGAAGGGTGAGACACATACCTTCTAGTCGGTGTTGTTGCAGCCGCAAAGGGTGCGGGGTATCTCAGTCGGTGTCAAAAGGCGGTGGTACGGCTGCCTCCTGTCTGTCGTCGTCGTCATCGTCGTGAACAAGGCGTAGCGTCTGCCAATGCCCAAACTCGCTGAGGAGATTATGGTCGTGATGGCGCTGTTGGTGCGGCGATACATGACAGAAGCTGAGTTCTGGGCATGGTGGTCTACACGAACGGGTAATCAGTGACTTGCTCAATGTGCGGGTGGCGGCAGGTGACGGCAAGCAGCGAAGGCTCGCCAGCGCGGATCAGAGGATGACATGGATGCGGAGGGGAACCGAACTGGGTTTCGAGCTCCTTGAAGGTGTTCAGAGTTTGCAACCCCGCCATGTGCTCGAGCTGCAGCACCGTGCGGAAGAGGCGCGGCGATGAGAAGGAGGCAGGGTGAGCGAGAGAGACAATTATACATACCGCGAGCTCTACCATGGAGATGCCTTTAAGCTTCCTGCACCTTGTCAGGGCAGGTAGTAGCGTGACTGCCGTTGCGGAGTGGTGCTGTCAACGCAATCGCGGGCTTGGGGCATTGTCGGGGAGGTGGTTGGGAGTAGGGGTAAAGTTGGCCACTCGCTCATACTTCGCTCTTCATGTAGATTACAGCAGTCTTGAAGGGAGATGCGGTTTCTTGGATGATGGTGGTGGTGGGGTTGTGGTGGACGGAGTTCTAAGGGACATCTTCTCAGTCGGCACTCACCTTTATGCCCCCCGCGCATCTCGAGCCACCTTCAGGCTTGCCACGGCCGCAGAAGATGAGGGTGCTTGGAGATCGAGCCAGAGAAGCTGCTTGGGACGTAGGAATCCAAATTTGGCGTGGGTAACGGCAAAATAAGGCCAGCAGCTACAGCGTGCACCTCAGCTAATGCCTGGACTTCAACACCAAGAACGAAGGCTGTACGAGTCCAGATGTGCTATAGAATCCGCGAGAGAGCTCTCACAGCTGCGCCTCAAGAGTCTGCCGTAACTCTCGCTCACCGCGATGAGCTAGCATCGCGGCCGTCCCTGTACGTGGCAAGAAGCGGCGACAGTCCGGAGAGCATGATACAGCAGTAGAAGATGGATAGAATTGATGTGCTCACACAGTTGATCAGAAGGTTTCGCTGCATCCTAGTTTAGCAACCTCCAAGCTTTTGGCACTGAAAGGTCGTGCTGCAAAAGACATGCCATGCGCCAATCCGCAGCTCTAGTATAGTTGATGTCCCATGCCGGGGTGTTTTCTCAGCTTTCAGTCAGACCCTCGTTGATCTCAGACTACTACATTAGGCCTCGAGTGAGAACAGCAGAAATCTACATGCTTTCTAGTAGGCCACGATGTGTGAAGACGGGTCGCAGATATTATAAAGTCCCATGGTTACTTGATTAAGAGACAGGAACCAGCAAGTAGTAAGAGCCTCGCACATCAGTATACCCCAGTTGCTGCCTTTATATGTTTAGTTTACCTGTTGCAGATACCGCTGTAGAGAAAGAACTTATGTTGCAGAGGTTTGTTAGAGACAAAGGCTCTAATTCCTCTCTCCCCTAAGGCTATCTAGGCATAGCTTTGAGAAGGCGCATACTGCCTCGTTAAATTCTTAGATGATCAGGCCAGTGTGCTTTCAAATTATTTCGTCCCATAGAAATAAGTCTAAGGTCCTGTGGCGGAAGGTCGCATCACGATCGAGAGTGACTGAAACCGACTGCACAGACGATAAGTGTGATGATCTCAGACTCTACACTGGCAACAACAATCTCTTTGCAAAGATCATAGGCGTTTTGTAACTTTGTGTAGGCTGCTCAATTACGTGAGAGCTGACTTAATTACCTTCTGAAAACATGGGCTAAGGGCCCTGCACAGACTTCCCGCAAATAAGATGAGACGAAACTATGACAAGTTGCCTTGAATTTGAGACTTTCACATCAAATAAGGTAAGAACTAGTTGTTCAGTAGTAAAACGATTTCATCACAGGCCAGTCCACGGTATGTACTCTGCATGCTGGGTTACTGTTGTATATACGCTGCACCGGGGACTGTCAGGCCGGAAAGACACAAGTTCGACTCATATTTTTTTGTCTGAATTTAAGCTGTATGCATTTCAATCTTGTCTCTTCGCTTGCCTAGTTGTCGTTAAGGATCTACACTGCTAGCTGACAGGAAAGAGAAAATCTCTGCCTCGTGCCCGTCTTAAGCTCTGCCCCCAACACTACTTGTGAACAAGGTAATCGACTCAAGATATTCTGCGGTCAATTCTAGATTTTCTCAGCAAGGATCACGACGGAAGCTTTGAATGCCATAATCGGCATTCGAAGTTTCCGACGTGGTTCTTGTTGATGGTCAGGGTGGCTGATTGGAGAGGCCTTGGTTCGACTCCGGGTGAATTCAATTTTTGCATTTTTGTTGAGCATGTTGATCTATTGTATGCGCTTGCGTACCTAGGTAATGCAAAGGGCTAGCCAGTTTTTTGGACACACTATGCACGCAGCATAACTGAGCGTAGACAGCTGCCAGCCTGCTGATGCACATTTATTCGTTCTGAGGAGAGCAGAATTCTTGAGTCGCCGCTTTCTTATGCCAAGTTACCATCAGTTACGCTTACCATAAAGCTTCCAAGGTTACTTCGGGCGTACGGAACTGCAGGAGCGCCACGTGAAACATAGGTACTAGAGTATTCAGGAGATATTCACACTCGCTATCCTCGTAAGCATTAGCATGAGGATGAGTTACCTGAATGCTAATGGCCGGAATCACTAAGTTGACTTTGCTAAGGCAGTTGAAAGTACCCGTTATATTGAGCGCGATATGTGCATGTCACTGTTTTGATTCAATGCACGTTATCAAAAGACCTTATATGCATATTGACATCGAGGCTGTGAAAAGCTCCGAGTAACCACCTCAACGTAACCTTTCGGCAGTAGAAAGGGGATGCTGGTCGAAGTTTGCTGCGATGGGACAGTCGCGCGCTTGATGTGGTTTGGTGATTGATGCACCTTGCTTCAAATTTGGAACAAAGAGAATGCCCTTGTGTGTGTAACTCAGCTAAGGGCACTTATAGTAACGATATCCGATCTTTCCTTATTGTTCGGAACAACGATATCACGCCCTTTGGGGGTTGAGGCTACCTAGGTCCACATCTCAGCTTCGTTCCAGCCAAAGATCTCCGCGGCAGCAGCAAGCACACCACAAGTATGAACTTTCAACGACGGTGATTGTTCAGCTTAAGGAGTTAAAAGATATCCCTTGCATGTCAACGGATGATCCAGGCCTTAAAGCGTAGGGATTTCTATACTGATATTCTCAGCTTCTAGGAATTGAGCTTATTTATAACATGTTCCGCTATGGGAATTATAAGCCAGCATACTTTCGCTGCCGCCGATTGATAGTAGTGCCACTTGTTACTGGTAGATACAGGCATGAATATGCTACAATCCTGCTAAATATCCTTGCTCTGGGTCGACCAAAAAACGTTCACCTGGAATGCGTGCTATATGATATTCATGTGCTGCAAATAGCGCTTGCCCGAATGCTCAATTGTATGGCTTACTGAGTGTAGTCAACAGAGAAGATTCTTATTTCTGCCATGCATGAGGTTCACAGCGTTGCAGCAGCCAGTGAAGGGACTTTTGCAACTATGACTTTCAGTGGGGTCAGTTGGACAGAATTATGCATAAACAATTGGTATGAAACCAGGCTCTTGTGGCTTTTCTACGATCTCCGTCATACCTGGCTACCCTTCATGTATTACTACCTATTCTCGAATGACCAAAATGTGTTCCTGAAACAGTTCGGGGATGTGACAGCGTTAAGCTGGTGTGGCATCTCGCTTTGAGCTTGTTCTGGAAATTGTATACTTACAGAGAGTGCACTGGTAGTGGTTTTACGGGGAGCCACGTACGCTAGCTCAGCTGAGCTTTTCGAATTTCGTTTGGAGCTCACAGTGAAGCCAACTTCGGTCCTGCACCAAACGTGGCTAGCACTGATTGTACGGTACATGAATTCTCAATTCCAGAATGTCTTCATCAAAGCAAGTAAGGGCTCGTGGTCCAGTGGTATGACACTCTCGCATCGAGTTCGCCGGTAACACTCAGGTGACTCGTAAACCTCCAGGAGATGGGAGGAAGCTCAGTGGGGCCCGGGGCTAACAACACCTTTGTGAGAGGAGACCGAAATAGCAGAGAGAGACCTGAGTTCGAATCTCAGCTAGCCCAATTTTTTTGGTCCTCTTTTCGACCCTCAGTAGCGCAGGCCCTTCACCCCGCACACAATCTGCACTGCCCCGCATCCTGCGCAAATTACGAAATTGCAGCAAGCGGGTACAGCGTATGACGTAGAGAGAGCCAGTACTCCAGTTACATCGAGAGTCAATGCCAGCGTTTAAGTTCCAGGTGAATCGTTCGTCTATGCCTTCGAAATTCAGCCTTTAAGTGCAAAACGTCTGCTTGAGGAAAGGTTTGAGAGTCAGACTGCGACTCAGAACCCCGCCTTTGTATTTTTGGGGATCGAAGCGCGAGACAAACTCTTCCTAGGTCATAGGAAAGCAAGTAAAGCTTTACCGGCTCTGATCAGATGATGTCGTGTTATTCTATCCTCCAGTCTACATGGCGTCAGATCCAACGTCCCTTGTATATCACCGCTTCCAACATGATGTTCAACTGCAATCAAGGCCTCCGCTATACTGTGTGTCTCGGTCGTAGCCCAACTACTAAAGCCAGTCAGGACATATAGTTCAGTAGCACATGGAGCTTTGCTCCCACAGTAACTTGTGATCAGTACCCGCGCAGGCCACAGGACAAGTTGTAGGTAGAGTTTTGGTAGTTCATGGACGACATGTGCGTGAAAGACAAGGAACAGGCTCTCGAGGCAGATAAGTGGCAGATGCATTCGAGATACTATGAATAAACACAGGCTCCGATCTCTTGCGCTGTTAATAACCCTGCTCCATGTATTGCGCAACGTCCATCGAATCGTGGTCGCAAGAAATCAAGTCTATATGCCCCAATCCACTCCCAACATTCGACTGCTTCCCTGGGCCACCTATGCACCATCCTGCTATTGTTCTTTGTTTCCAGACCGCAGCCTTCCATGGTAGGCGAAGTACGAGGTGTATTTGTTGTGGTCCTTCGATTGGCGCCCAAAACGCAGCGTTGGTCGCACGAATGAGACGGTTGCTAAGTTTAGTTGACGGCACCGGATCTGTTACGGCATGGTAGCCTACAGTCTCTGAACACTGTCGAAGTCCGAAAAACGGAGAGCGGTTCATTGCGGTGGTGACTTCCGATTTCCAGGACCATAAGTTGTCCGAGATCGAGTTCCTTGCTCTTTTTGCTTCGTTGAGAGCTCTGCGCGACTCTTGTTGTGGCAGGGCTAAGCAGTGGTACTCATCGCATTCTTAAGACATACTGCAGGCGAGATAGTATCGGAGTCTTGCGTGGGACTCCAGGCGACGGGATCGGTGTAGCGCGCTGGTTGAACTGCTCCTTCAAGAACATGCCGGCCAGACAAAGCTCAACTTGATTGAGAACTCCGCAGCTCATGAGCATATAGCATTGCCTCTGAAGTTGAAAGCCTATGCTGTATCGGTGGGGTCATCGTGTCTTTGCCGTTTGCTGTATCTGTGTTGTAGAGGAATCGAGGTCTCTGGATAGTCTGCAGAACATGTTAGCATGGTGGGTCATCTACCCGCAATAGATTTCTGGATCTAAAGTGAATGAGCTGTTCTTATGTTCATGCCAGGTCTGGGGTTTGGAGGGGTGGAGCGGCACACCGACCGCGACAAAAGTCTTGGCGCGGTGGAGGGCTGTTTGGCAAAGTCTTTTGGATCTCTCTCCGACTACAGATCTACAGTCACCTATTTTCCACAACCATACACCCCACACTTCGCTTTCAAGATGGTAAAGAAGGTCTCCCGCCACTCGCTCCACGACTGCTTGAAGAGCATCCGCCAGGGCGACACCAGGTGCCGCACCTGCGCCAAAATCTACCAGCGCGGAAGAAACAATGGCCTACCGGGCTATTGCCCAACCCACGGTGGTGACCGGACCAAGGAGATGACTGCGCTCCGAAGAAACGACAGCTTACCGAGCCATTGCCCCACCCACACAAAGGAGCAAGACAAGGAGATGACTGTGCTCGGAAAAATCGCAGTAGAAATGCAAGACTGGTTCCACCAGAAATCGGTCAAGAGATATGAGGAGCGCCATGGACGCCTGCAGCGGCTCGAGGGACTCACAGACGGCGAGGCTTGGATGTGGACCAGGACGAGAGCAGCCTGGCTCCAATGTGGGCATAGCCTGAGAGACATTGGACCTCACTGGTGGGGACACTGGTTCGCCTCAGAAGACGATCGTAAGTAGGCCTACTGTTGTAGGCGAACAGTACGCTAATTAAAACAGCAAATTTTCTCCAGATCTCGGACATTCAAAAGATGATGTTCAACCCAGAAGACCACTATGGGTTCCGCCACTGTGTCTTTGTCGTGCTTCTGCACTCCGGTCACCGCTACGTTGTTGATCCGACTGGCTTCCAGTTTGGTCCCCAGTGGCCCCTGGTCTGTCCGCTCGAGGAATACACTAGCGGGTTCATGCACCAGTTTCCGGAAGCACGCAATGTGCAGTACCTACCACTAGGAACCGACTAGTTCTTGCTTGGAAAAGACATGACCTAGGAATTCTAGGTCACATGCCCTTGGGTTGGATGGTTGCTGATCTCCTGTACGGTTACCCGTCACAGAGCCACCGCCATCCATCCAACTCGGGGGTACAGCCTCGAAGAGGAACCCCTTGACGCGGGGAGGCTGCCCACCAAAAATCAGACTGGTGCTAAGATTCCTCACCCGCTCCCATGCTAGCGCATCCAATTCGGAGCGGGTTAAAAGCAGCTTTAAAGTCACATTACCAGTAGGTGGCCATCAAGCACAAGCTGAAGCTGGACAAGCTAACCATTGTCAGGCAGAAACCGAGAGTGTACACCACAATGTGTCTCACCGGATTGCACCCTCCCTCAAGTCAAGGCTCAAGCCTCCAATCCGCGGAAAACCCCACGAATGCAACCACCGATTTCGAACTGGCACGCGAGCCGCCTTCTCATTCCAACAATAAGATATTGAGACCAAGCACAATAGGAGCGACGTGTTTGTTGTTGGTGTTGGTGGCGGCATCGAAGGGTTGAAGTTGAAAGATGGTTTTCGGAGCTTTGATCATCTAAAGCGTGACCCGACGACACCCTTGCCTGCGCAGTTCTCAGCCCCGCCATCCTGCTTCAGGCCTGGCCCGACGCGCACAACGACGTATCCAATCCAAGAAAGCACGCCCAAAACCGTATCTATGCGGTGGAGAAAAGGATACTCTGGGTCAGGAAGATTCAATGAAAGTTTCCCTCTACTTTACAAGGCAAGAAGACAGCATTGTGGCATCTCGAAGCGACTTCGACTTAGTCACGAATGGGATGCACATACCTTGGCGAGCGCACCGGGCGACAGAACACCGGAGAAGGAAGACACGACTCTACGAAACAAAGGATTCCAGATTTAATGATGGAAAGAATGCTCGAGCAAGATCCAGTGCCAAAAAGTGTGGGCGCAATACTGCAATCAATCTTCCGTGTCATTATTAAACGCGTCTTTCGAAGCTGGGCTGTCCTAGACGCAGCGTATGGTCGTGGGAAGGGAGCCCAGATCAAAACTATGGCCACAAGTGCAGGATATTTGGTGTGGAGGACGGCAGTATAGAGCTCATGTACAAGCATAGTTGATAGCACGGAGCCTTTGCGAATGTGCAATTCACAGACATGTAGGCAAGGCAAAAGATTAGAAGCCATGACTATCTGGCATGAAGGAAACGCTAAGCGTACAACGGATTGCCTTGCATATCATCAATTATTCACACTCATGCCGACCCTGGCGCAAGTGAAAACATGCCAATGTTGCCAACCTTCGTTCCAGTTGTGTAGCATGCTGTGGGGCTGCAAGATGGTCCGCAAGATGAGCACCACTTTGAACACAGAGCCCAAAACACATTGCGCTGTTCTTGTTATTTTGTGTGCGTTTCTTGAGCGGAAGCGCTAGTGCTCATTCAGCTCTTGGAGCCGCACCCAAAAACTTTCTACTCTGCAACCACCACAACCCCGAAATTGTAGGTATATTGTTAAGCCATGAGCAGAACGGAAGGCTAACTATACCAAAGCCCATCACACAAAAACCAAACACGATGGCTCGCACGACCATCCACCTCCCGAGCCTGGAGTACTACCGCTCCAAGCGCGCCGCCAACGACATCCGTGTATGTTCACTATACATCTTGCTCATATCATGAAGCTGACTCAATTAAAGCAGCACCGTCGAGAGCAAGACCAGGATCGCTGGATGACCTTAACTGGTGACTGGAAAACCAACCTCAATGTGCACAAAGCCATTCGAGCGGTGTTGAGGACCACAGAGTGCGAAGAAGCTCTGATGCAGATTGTCGCGATCTTGGAGCAGTATTTCCCCTCTTCTTCTCTTCCTTTCCCAGTGAGCACTAACATATCTCAGGCGACAACGTGACAGAGAATCCGGCTGGAAAGCCAAACTTCTGAGGGCGCACGTGGCCTGGCGCCGAGCGGACTATCAAGCTCGGAACGGATTGTGTGAGTGGAAACGCGTGTTTTGGTCTTCTAAATCATCGACTTTGCTAATTTGAACTTGAGAAACCCACTGTCCTCGCACCCAATCCCCGTCTGCCGCCTGCCTCCGTCGTCCCACTCGCCCAACACCGACCACCAAGTTTCGTCACACGCCTGTAACGGGCCGAAATCCCCATGAGTCTAACTCGTGCCAGGAAGCTGCATGGATGATGGTTAGAGACCGACCACCTGTTGTCGGGTGAAGGCTCTGACTATTTTCAACCGCAACTGGGCTTCATTGCCTGCGCGCGGAGTGGATTCTACATGCGGCAACTTGGGCTTTGCTGCTAGCAACAGCAAAGTGGACTCTGGCGCTAGTTCCCGGCTTTGCGTGCCGCCAGAGATTAGTACTCTTACAAGAGGAAACCAAGAGGAACATCGTGAAATGTGCTTGAAGCACACCTGTGGAGATTCGGAGCGCATGTGAGTCTTCCTCAATCCCATTCATTCACACTAGATGGCCTTGTGCCCCTCTTAGGGACGTAGCCTCTTCTCGTTACCTCACACCAGCGGCCGCGCTGTCTCGAATCCACAACCAGTACGGCTCAGTGCCTCGAACACCACTGCGCCACTTCAATCGACTGCGTATTCTGAGGCAATAGGTCAGGCTGTGGGAGCACACTTCACGCATAGGGCGAGATCCTAGCATGTCTACCTGCTGTGGCGACTACAGCAGCACATTGGAGACGAGTTGCGCTTGGCTCGAGAAGACGGGAACATCAACAAGAGGCAGAAGGGAGGTTTTGAAACACAAGGCATGAAAAGTAACAGTAAATCACATACTTAAACACACGTGTGTCGCCGTCGCGCATTGCGCGCCATGTGACTGCGACATGGGCATTGCGTGAAAGATCTTGAGCAAGTAGACTTAGCAGCTAATGTGACATGATTCACGATACAATGTTCTATCAGGGATCGTATTGAGTGAACGCGATCAAAGTAGTGCTATCGAATCAATACTGAACTTGCGTATGACGCGTGTACGGGCGTTCCTAATATTACGGCCATGATTAGGAACGTGGCTGTTTGACGCGCCACCAAATAGCAGCAGATTTCCTATCCGCCCTTCTCCCACGAGAGAAGTTAATTAGGCAGCTTGTATGTACTCGAAGATCTGTGTAGAACTAGATAGAGTATCTCATAGCTGTATTGATACTCAGGCGCACTTCAGCTTATAGTAAGTAGACCTCAGTAAACCATCAGCTTATCTCGTGTGTGCGATTTCGCGGCTGCCTGGTGCGCCGAATGTAACTCCCAGAACATGAGCGAAAGATTCTTCCTCGAGTGCTAGGCCAGAGCCACGCAGGACGATGAAAAAAGGTGCATCGAGTAGACTCGACCGATAGGGCAGATGAAAGCGCCAATGAAAGAAACCTAGGGTACCAGTTATTATTGATCCGAACGAGAATACGATTCGTGATTGGGATTTGAAAGGTCAGATTGGGCGGCGTGTGTGCCGGTAGTGTGTAGTGACGGGGTCTTTATCATTGCCAGTGGCTGATATTGTTCTTTTGTATCATCATGAATGGGCAGCGGAACATAAGAGGCATGAGTACGAGGGGAGACTTAGCTTGTTGGTCGTCGTTGTTTGCCGTTGTTGTGAAGCGGGAACAGGAGGCGGAGCAGAAGAGGTTTTTATAGCAGAGCTGCTAGCTCCAGTCATGTGACTCGCCCGTCACTTCGCTAGTCACCTCGCTTATTGTAGAGTCTGTGCCCTGACCGTGCGCCCTCTGTGCGCAGCCGGCTCGCCGTGTGCTATATAAGCTGTCCTACCCCCCTCTCTCCTTCTTCTTTTTCCTCAAAGGACTCAAGCAGAGTTTGTTAGATCCTTTGCTTCTCGATTTACCTGCTTCCGTCGCCTTCAGGGTAATTCCTGGAGTTGAATTTTTAGAACTAGCTGGTGGCTCCTGGTCACTGGCACAGTGTCGTCTCCCTTACACTACCGGAGATGTACGCGACCTTTTTCATTGACTGCGTTTGCCTTTTGGCATCGCGTTGAAGAAGAAGTTGTTTGTAGCAGTTGGCTACGTTGATCCATGGCCTTCTTCGTCTTACAGGTGACAGTTATCAGTGATGTATCAATGCCGCTTGCTGCTGCCAGCTGTCTCGAGCTACAAAGTCATGGCCAGGCTTATGACTCCCCAGCTTCCATTTTCCTTAGTCTGCCTGCTGTAATGTTGCTTGTGATGATATGCGTCATGGTGTTGACTTATGTGGCGCGCTGTTTGGCCCGCCACCACCTGGGCAGTGACCGACATGCGTTGAGTGAGCAGAGTTAAGCTCCTATCATAGTTGAGCTGGCAATTTGATTGATTGTATCAGCGTCCTCCAGCGCGCAGAAGTGTTCTTGTCGCCGAAAATGCGGCAAGTTTGCCAGGCCTGGGAGTATAGGCAACGCAATACCGCCCCACCATCGCCGAGCCATTATGAACGCCTGGCGCACCTAAGCCTAAAACGAAATGCTGCTGGGAGGGTCTCAATAACTACAGATAGCGTTCGCGTCGCTCGTCGTACTCGTACTCACTGTGCCAACCGATCGCTAGTCGCTGCACTCGGAGGGCTCGTCGGGCCCGTGGGCTTGCCAGCATACTACGGCGTACGTCAATACAGTGCGGACTTCTGAAGCAACATGCTAAGCATACCATACCAGCATGAGTACGATCTATCATTGTGACGCATGGCCGCCAAGCGAAGGAGCTGCTCATGATTGTGCTGGCGCGGCGTCACCGTGTCGGTGCGGTCTCACAATTTGGGTCGCTTGGAGACTCTTCTGGAGACCTTCATGACTGGACCTTCGCTGCTCTAGAATGCAGTAGTAGAATGACTTCTTTCAGGCTCCCCGAATAGCCACCCCGATGTCGGTGCCAACCCGAACGCCTTCCCTCTGTTGCGTCTACTTCTTCCGCGGCCTACCTGTCGCGTCACTTGAGCGCAGCGCATCATGGACCTATTCCCCTGCTCCATAGACCATTATCACGAGTGATTCCAAGACTCATTCGTAATGCGGTAGCCCGAGAAGGGAGGCACGGGACGTGATACACATTGAGGCAAGACAAGAATGGCGGACGGCGGGACAGCTGCATCAAGATATCAGGGTACGAATAGGCGGAGGATACTGTTTTGAGTACACGCGAGGGACACATAGCTATACGGAGGCAGGATGGAGATGGATAACGGCGGGACAGTTACATCAGCACACGCAGAACACTGTTTTGGCGTAGGATACCAGTTTGAGCCGTCACGGGGCAGAACGGATTGGCGAATCGCATGTGTAAATGCTACAGATTTCGGCAGCGTCTGGGACATGGACAATATATATACTTTACTGCATATGGAGGAGCTCATCACAGTCACCGTCCTGTGATGTCTTCTGTCAATCTAAAGAATTTGCAGTGGTCAAGCACGTTTGAACGAGACGGCCTGCATGCTCTGAAGAAGAATCTCAATGAGTTCAACACTACGCTGCGCTACAATAGAGAAGACAAGAGAAGTTCTACTTCAAGGCGTCGTCGGGTTCCTTACACAACTTTTGCGCCCGTTTGCCTCCAAAAGCCCACTGCTAGCTCTGTCAAAATTGGTGACGCGCTCCATCAAAACAACTCCACCACCTCCGCCAAACTAACCCACCACCGACCTCGAAAAATACCCTAGAGCCTCTCTTACTTTCACGAGCTCAGTCTCCGCATAGAACCGTGGTCGTGCTCCTCCATCACATCTTCCCCTCCTGCTACATCCTCCTTCACACCAACCCCTCCGCGTCACTGCAGCCACCCCCACTATTGGCGCATCCGTCTGCTAGGCGGCCTTTGGGATACAGAGCGTCAAGAGAACATCTCTTGCCCTGCTCTCAGATAAGTAGCTTAGGCTGCGCTCAACTTGTAAGCTCCCATGTCCAAGGTCGGTCACCACTGCCTGCCCCCTCCACCTTTGCAATGATGAAAAAATTTCGTGGGAGCATAAGTGGTCGCTTTACAAGCCTCTGGTATTCCATGATGGTTCTGAGGTTGATCAGGCGATGATCACAACAGCTCGATGCTACTAGAAAGACCCATGAGCAATAGCGGCCTTCACACGACTTCGCACAGCATCGCTGTACCACAAGCTAACTCTGCCCACTTCAGACTCAAATTTCCGTTGCAGTCGGCGACCGCGCCCGTTCCTCCCCCACAATACACAAATCGACGCTGCTCACAGATCTTGGCCCTATCTATGGACTTGGTCGCGGGCGTGTGGCCTTGTCTCTAGACTTGGTCACGAGTGCGTGTCGAAGAGCAAAATTAGGCGAGTTCTAACCCGCATCTTCTTGCCGTGGTTTAGAACAGCTCAGAGTTTTATGGCTGCTCACTTGGCTCAAATGCGCCTGGGCGGTAAGACCCTTTGATACATTTCTCGATGAACCTGCATTGAAATTGTCTTTGCTCGCCCCAGCTCGCATTGCGCTGATCAGTCAGGAACATGGCATTGATGGCCGCCCTCCCCCGAACGATACCTCCCGAGGTCCTTAGCGACGGATTCATATCTGTCGACCTCTTCAGATGTCGCCTACCGCTCGGCAAGGTCTAGCTGCATGAAATAAAGTCGGCGAGTCTTCTCTTTCGATGCCCAGGTGTGACAGCGCTCAGCTTCACCGCTATGGCTATGAGCCCCGAGCGCTACAGCCGGACATCATAACGTGTCTTGCACCAATCATTCTATGGCAAGACAAGATACATCGGCGGGCAGATTCGGTAGGACCTAGACCCTTCCCATGGCCTATGATCGCGAGCACCCGCCGAAGATCAAAGCGTGCTCTCAACCCGCATCCCCATGTTGTGGTTCGATATCAGCTATCAGAGTAATCAAGCTGCTTAGGCTAAGATTCTTGCCTCAGCCGTGGCAAATACACTGGTACATTATGAAACTTCAGTCCTTCTGACAGTAGCCTCACCAGGCTGTTCCCCGTGCAGCCTGATTTGAGCCTCATACTCCCAACACTGATGTATTACAGTCTATTCGTCCAGCTGTATGCTCTACCGCAAGCCCCTCGTATCGCAAAACCGATCTTCCTCCTTCACGCTCCGAGAGCCCCTCCCGCTTCTACACACGCACCGCATTCAAGCTCTCCAGCCTTTGGCATTGCTCGACCCAGACCCGCCCATCAGCCCCCATCCTGCCCCCGGAGCCTTAAACAACGCCCCACACTACGGGCCTACCTGCTTCGGCAGCGTAGGCAGTGCCCCACATGCTCGTCTTTCAATGATAAGGGTTGTGCAAAAGGTGCTTGGGAGAGAAATGGAATGCTCCGTGCCCGGGCGTTGCAGCAGACCAAGTACAACTATTAGTTGACTGTTTTGATAAGATCCTTTCATCACGGCGTTTGGAAGTACTACATACACACAGAGCAAGAAGTCACAGGTTGATGGGGGCCTGGTTATCCTCACTGGCTAGGATGGAGTCATAAAGCTGGCGATACGTCTGCAACGTGCGCCAGGAAGAGTTGTTGGGACTCCACAATGGCTTTGGGCAGGTTGGCTGATCACCAGGCAAGGAATGTAAGGGCAACGATGGTGGCGGGAGCAACAGTCTTTCCATTCTCTATAAGAAATTCAAACTGAAAATGTCTTCTCGAGGCGACGGCCCTTTCCCTCTTGTTCTCCGTTCTGCTTCTTCCTCCTTCTCTTCCTCTTTCTCCTCTCCTCCCCACTACGCAGCAATCCTCTCGTTCTAGTCAACTATCAACCAATTTAGCCCTTGATCCACACCAGAAGCCTCAGAAAGCAACACATGGTCGCTAAACCGAAGCCAAACACGCAGTCCAGCACCAACTAACTCAACAAGGGAAATGAAAACTTACACCGCACGCTGGTGCTTCGTCCCCGCACCTCATCCGCGAGGGCCTGGCGGTATAGACCGCGCAGGACGCCCCGAACCGCTCTGCAGAACAGGTGGAGCGCAAGCAGCGCCCTCCATTCGTCTGCTTGTTGGGCCGGGCCCCCGTGCAGCTCCATGTCGAGCTCGACTTTGGTTTGAATGAGGTCCACTTCGTGGATCTCGGTTGCGAGCATGAAGCTGCGCGGAGGCATTTTGGTGGCGGTTTTGGTGGTTGTGGTGGTGTTGTTTGGTGGTGGTGGATTGGTCTGATGGGGTGTTTTGTTAGGATTTCTGTTTGAACAGAGGGGGATTCAGGGCAGTAACGCTTGATTTGCGTGCAATACGTACAGTATGGAGCTGGTGTTGTTGCTAAGGAGCTCACTTGCTGTCCGACGCGGTTTTATCTTCATCTCGCTAGCTTGTGGGACTGTGTTCACTTCACCGCTCTCCATTAGTCTTACAACTGTTATTCTCATCGTCTCAAGATCTATGTATTCTTGGTAGGATCTAGTGGATTGGCATTATGCTTCTAGTACGTCGGAAGTCCAACTCAACTTCAAAGTCTACTTCTAAAGCATGTCATAGAACATCACGATATCACGTAATACTTCTACAGGTATTTGTAACATTATTTTGTACATCCAGCTCTTATCAAACCCCACTATCCATCCCCTCTCCCTCCCACGAAGACACCCAGCCCTATCCAAACCTCGCCCACCACTTTGCCGCCAACACCGCGACAGCCCACGAGATAACCCCTTCCCACATAACCGCCGCCCTCCCAACCTCCGTATGCAGCTTCTTCAGCCCACCCAAAAAAGCCGTCTGTATCCTCAAGTCCATCGCCGGATCTCCCTTCACTGCCGTCGTCCATGCCAAGTGATACCTAGCGCCCTCGTGCCGGCACCAGGTATCATACAAGGCGTCGTCAAGGATAATCTTGAGTTCCGCTTCCAGGAGCTCGGGAGTGGTGTAGCGCAGGCCAGGCGCAAGGCTGCTAGCCAAGGCGTTGAAGACATGTTGAGGAAACGGCGCCGCGGCCACGATGTCTTGGTGGAGGGGCATGGTGAGACGGTACACAGCATCGAAGATGGCGCGGAAATTCTCGCCATCGACTATGCAGGTGTTTCGGGCGGCGAAGTTGGGCGAGGCTGGGTCGAGCCAGTGGAGGTCGCGGATGTTCTTGAGGTTGACGGGCGAACTGACGAGGGCGTCGACCTGGGTCAAGGGGTCTTGGGAGGGGAAGGAGAAGCCGCCATCTTGGGCGCAGACGGAGCATAGGATGGGTAGCGTCTGGCTCCCTTGGACGTGCTGGTGTAGGGTGAGGCAGGCGCTACATTGGGTATGGCCGCAGGAGAGACGGTAGCAGCGTCCTGCAATGGTCATGTTGGCGATGGGAGAGTTTTCGGCTCTCCAAGTGCAGGTCTGACAAGCGGACAATGGCTGTCCCTGACCTTGAGCTTCAAAGGCGGCCTGTCGCGACTCCATCCGTGCTTGTTGTGAAGTTTGTGACATCTTGAGAGCGAAGAGTCAAGGTTGAGTAAAGTGTGAGCCGAGTGGTTGGGCAGTGAGCAGTTCTGTATGGGTTCGGGATAACGTGGGCGCGAGATGTGTAAGTAGGTAAAATGGGCGGACAGTGTCAAAATATTGTCAATTAGCGGCGCTAGGCGACAGTGGAAGCGTTTTCAACGAAGTCGGAACAGTGAATGAGAATCAAAATGTATGTTTTTGCAGAATTTTACAGGCTACATGCCTACAAGTTCTGCCTATCAGAATACTTACATCATATTAGCAAACGACAAGGGCTCCCTCGTGCGCTCAGCCGCTCCGCCCTCTACAGACGCAACCCGCTCGAGATGCCTCCAAGCCAGCAAGTCAACCCACATCCTAATCATGCCAACCCAGTTCTCCCTAATAGTGTTCAGATCCTCAAAAGTGTTAGTCGCCTCCCAGAGGATAGCAGCGTCGTTCTGCAAGTCAATGTCATGCATGTCCAGATGATCCGCGTACTTGAACCTCGTGTCACGGACAATAGTGTTGTTCAAGACTAGCATCAAATCATCCTCCAGCTCCAAGGGCGTAGCCATCATCTTCGATACAGAAGTAAGCTCCTCCTTGAGCGCCATGTAGTATGGATTCGCAGTGAAGATCTCATGCGTCCCGGCGGACAGGTAGGATGGCAGGCCGCCGAGCTCGACGGTGTTGAGGATCTGGTCGTCGAAGTAGCCGTAGGTGACGTCGAGGAAGGTGACTGCCTCGGCGGCGGTGAAGGCGATCAGGTTGTTCATGACCTCGGGCTGTTCGCGGATCTTGTCAAAGGCCTGAAATTCGAGGAATTCGTGGTTGATGCCCTCAAAGTCTTGGATGAGCTGGAGGGGCAGGAAATGGCAGCCGTTGCTGCAGGAGGGGCAGCGGACAATTTCGTCGTCGACCATGTTCCACATCTTTGTGAGGCAGTCGCGGCAGTAGAAGTCGTCAGATTTGTGACATGACAGATCGTACAGTGGGATGTTGGTTGAGGAGCATGTACCACATGCATCGCCAGTGACTCCAACGAGTACAGGCTCGCCAGTGCAGGACTCTGGGTTGCTGCCGTATCCAGTCATGTTTTTGTATTTATTTTTATGGTTTGCGAAGTGTTTCGTCGAATTGAGGTATTGTTCTACGCTCTAGGAGTTACTCGACATGCTTCAGTATATAGCAGACATAAAGACAAAGAGACATTGATCGTGCACAATGATGAAAGAATTCTTTCAGTGAGGAAATGTTGCGAGAGCATAATATCATTGGCACACTTGCGACTCATTCACGAGGACAAAGAAACAGTAGCAGGGACAAGGACATTATGCACTATGCACTATTCTACTAAGACGTTCAGCCCAAACGTATGCAGCTCGCAGAAGTAGCATTGTGCTTTGAGGGTTGGGATTTCCATGGCCCAATGTGAACGTAGTGCAAGCTAAATACCGTCGCGCCTAAAACCACCTGTGCCATCCAATTCCACTGGATGAGGCATGGCAGGTAGCTCCACATCTGGCTTCGAGCCGTGCTCATTCGCCTCATGTATATCCTGGCCTCCTGCTTCCACCCGATATATGTCCTTTCCACTCTGTTCTGGTCGGTCCCGAGTCTCGCCGCTAAATCCTGTGACCCCTTGACGACGTCTTAGGCGCATCAGGTACCACGTAAGAATCATGACAAGTAGAAGAGCCGCGATGCTTCCTATGACAGCCCCAGCGATTGCGCCGACCGAAGTCGAAGGAGAATATTGTGCTAGCGGAGAGGGGCTTGGTGTAGGCACTGTCGAGGGACTCGCAGACGCGGAGGATAGGCTTGATAGGGCAATAGACGTGGAGGATCGTTCTGAAGACACAACAGTATTTGGATCTTTCTTGCAGTATTAGCAGATATCCACGGCACCTCCCAGACACACTAGGACTTACCAAGGCCCACCGCGACCGTACTCAACATGCTTACACTCACACTAAGCGACACATCGGGAATCCCACACCCATCTGAATACGTATTCAGATTTGATTTGTTGTATCCCGACAATCCATGCTCACAGCAAAACAACCCGTTGTTGTCGAACATGTCCCATGTCGAATTGGCGCAGGTCGGCTGCGGCACGTTCGTCAACGTCGTGTGGTTACAATCAATCGCGTCTGAAGGACAGCATACTACATTGTATTGAGGACCGGGGCAGGTGAACGAGGATGGGCAGCATGCGTGGAATGGTGGTTCAGTTCCGCCGCAGTCGACTTCGAGGCCGGCGGGGCATGAGCCGTTGCGGCGGATGGCGAAGCCGGGTTGGATTAGAGACATTGCGGTGAATACCTCATTGGAAAGGAATCCTCAGGGGGGGTTTTGAGGAGATGTCTGTGGCCCCAATTGAGAGTCGCATTGGGGCAGAGTCGCATTGGGGCTGCTACGGCGCGTTCCATTGCTGCGATGAGCCTAGCCGGCTGTTGCGATCCTGAGGCTGACGAGCTGAGCAGAAAGAGGCGCATGGTGCGACCCGAGCCGCTCGGACATCGCAAGTTAACTTGTGAAGGCGTCGAGTAACAGCGATATATGGCGTTGAATGTTAGCGGGTGTAGTTGAGGAATGACGCGTGATGCAGCGCCGAAGATGCACGGCATCGGACCTTCCCCCGCAAGGGGCTAAGGCTCTCCGAGCCTGTCCACCACCTCTAATGCACCGTCTCCCCTACACATCCGTCAGTGTATTTCCAGCCTAGGAAGTAAACGTGCAATGTCGTCGCGAAGCTCATGTTGCTGGATGCGACACAGCATTTCTCAGCCCTTTTCTCGACGGTGAAACCCTGTCCCGCCGTCTGTGCAACACTCGTGCGCTGTACACGTTCCTTAGCTTCTCCTGTCATGTCACCTCCAAGATTCGATAACAAAACACTTTTGATTTCTCCATCTCTCCAGTCTATCTACTTCTGTCCAATATGTCCTTTCAAGCCATCTTCTTCGTCCTCTTGCTGTCGGGTTTCGCAAGTGCTCTGACCCACGCGCGAAAATGCCCTTCACCGCCCACATGCGGCTGGGAGCTTATGGAACTAGGTAGCTCGCTCTCAAATCCCCCTCGCTTTTGTATTCAAACTTATCAAAAAATCTCCAGGCGTGCCTATTGCGTATCTAGGCGAAGTGTTCGCCAACCAGACGCGTGATCGCTCGCAGTGCGTTTCTCAAGGAGAGGAGAAGGGGGAGTATTGCACCTGTGTATTCGAGTGCGGAAACGGGATCTGGAGCTGTGCCAATGGCTTCTATCGATTTGAACGCGGGTGCCGCAAGTACTGCCACGCCGGGGCCTGTGACAGTGATGGGGCCTAAGCGACCAGACGCGCGCACCTCTTCCACCTACAGCAAGCTAGAAGCGCGTCAATCACCATTCTCTACTCAATTTCAGGCTGAGTACTTACGCCAACATCTTCTCAAACGCTCGGTGAGCCCGCTTCTCCTTCCTCACCCATTCCTTCAGCGCTCTTGCGCTCTTCGCCAGGTCTCGCTGTGCCTTGAGCACACGTTGGAGAAGCTCTCGGATTGGCACACAAGTGCAATCCCCCAGCATGCGGACGTTTTGTCGGATCGCCATGTTGGCGAAGGGCGCCGCAGAGTCCTCGAGGGCGTCGTGCAGGTTGCGCCAGGTCTTGAACTCGAGATCTGCCATGCTGGCGCAGAAGTCGGCTTGTGCCTTTAGGCAGGCGAGGTTGGAGGGGCTTGGGGAAGACATTGTGGTAGTGTGGTGGTTTTTGAGGGGGATTGTGTGTTGCGGGGTGGGTTTGCTTGGTGGGGAGGGACCTGGTGCGGGTGAGGTGCAAACGCAACTGAGCTAGCTATGAGCTATGGGCCGCATACATACCGCAGAACCTTCAAATTACAAACAGCTATTCGAATTGGACTGTTTCCGCCTGGAGGGAGCATGAGGGATATCAGGAACACGCAGAACCTCAGTGAAGCACGTACTCAGAGGCACTGAAGGCTTCTAGGCCGCAATATCAGATACGAGACAATGCCATAAACCGCCAGCCTGGCATCTACACTACACCGTAGCATCGACATCATACTCAACATCCGTCCTAATAACGTACTTCGCACCCTCCACTACGCCCGTTCCCTCGTGCAGCAACGCACCCTGAGCCTCTCCATGCGGGAACACTGCCACACTACCCATGATAGGCTTGACTGGATACGCATTGATGACACCCTCCTTGACACTCGGAATGAAGAAGGTAGTCTCGCCGCCCTTGAAGTCGTCGTTGAGGTAGATGAGGAACGTGAAGAGCGAAGACTGGCGCGCATCTGTCGGCGAGGAGTCGTACTGGTAAGCATTCTGTGACAGGATCGATGCCTGAGGGTGGCCAAGCGCCATCTAATGAAGTCAGCAATCATCCTCTTTGCACTGCCAGTAAAGAGGCAACGTACCAATGTGACATCTGTATTCCGCGCCAGGGACGTATCTATACACCCTGAACCTTCTGTTGATACCTCGCACCTGTTTTCCTGCCACTACTTCTGGCACAAAAGCCTTGACTCTGCTCCACAGCTTGTCGTGGAACGCTTGATCGATGACCCAGTAGAAGTTGTGGGCTAGGACACTCGTATCCTCGCCTTGAGGCCGCATAGGCGCATCTGGGATGAACTCGATCGTCTCTCCAGCTGCGATAATAGCCGTACACTCCTCAGGCGACAAAACGTCTCTAATGAGTCGAAGATTTGGTACGATAGGGTGCTTGAAGCATTCCGTCTTGGGTCCTTCTCCTAGTAGTACCGCATCGTCTTGCGAAGCGTACAAGACCGCAGGATGCAGATTCGGAGGCTTCCGCTGGAGACCCGCCGTAGTCTCAATGACTCTAAAGTTATCCTTCAGATCTGGCGAACACGTAGCGAATATCGACTTGTCTTCAATACTCCTGCGCACCTGCCTAGTTGGCTCGCTTGAACCGCGCAGATTCCAGATCTCCTGGAGCGAAATAGGCTTTGAGTCGACAGCTGTGCCATTCGAGGTCGTATCCGTGGGTCCAGTAACTCTGAGAATGGCATCCAGCACTTGGATCAACTTCTCGTTCTCGGCGTTGTGGCCAACGACGGTCTGGCTGGGGACCTGGACGTGAATAGAAAGTCCAGAGACGACGTCCAGCGTACGGACCCAGCGGCAAAGAGCTCCTAGCGTGGGTGTGTCCTTGCGGATGCGCATCTCGGCCAGGAGAATGAGTGCATCCAAGTACTTGGAGTCTGTGAGAGCTGCTGAAATGCGTGCGGTGAGATTGCTGCCCTCTGCCATATTTCGTCAGTGGATTGGGGCGATGAGCTGAACTTTATGTAATTACCAGCAGAGTTCAGACCTGTCGTGCATGCCTGGCGAAAGCCATATACGGCTGTCCTGAGATCTTTGCATGCTTTCGATTTGATCAAAACGGGGTGCTTGGCCAGAGTCTGCAGCGTCTCGACCGTAACTTCAATCTCTTCGGACGAGATAACCGAATGAACATTCGCAGGTTCCAATGGGTTCGTCTCTTGTGGCGGGCTTGGGATACCGTTCGTGGCTGGCTTCTTCACTGCATTTGTTTGCGCATTGTTACGCTTGCGCTTCGCCATGCTGATACTTTTTGCGACTTGAAATGAAGTTGTCGGCGTATCAATAGCAGCAGTGTATTTTTTTCGCACTCAGATTATGCTTCTTTCTCGACCTTGCGGACTTTGGCGTTGGATGCGGTCCCCACAAAGTTCGAGGTGGCGAATGAGGAATTTCCGCAACCTTGCCGTTTTCGTGAGCGTAAGTTAGCGTGGGAACTTCATTGTGGGGTAGTGCTAGCCATCGGCTTCCTAGACCTAAGTACCGCAACACTGAACCCTAGTACCCTATTAATTTTGGATTCAGATTTTAGATTCTGCTATGCTGCTTTTAACGCCAGGGCAGCTCAATCTGAAGTTTGTATCTCAAGATCTTGACGTAGTCACATGGCTGAAGAAGACGGACATATTGAAGTAGGAATCTACAACATAGAAGCCAAAAGCGCTGCATAAACTTGTATATACGGGTATCCAACGATTGTACATATTGCCATCCATGCATCCTAACCTTACTCCTCCAACCAATCCGCCGCCGCATCAATTGCCTTACTAGCAATGTCAATCCACTTCTTGACTGTAGCATCGTCCTTCTCGTCGATGCCTTCGACAATGCCGGGGAATGTAGCACCTGCATATCCAGTCCACTTGCCAGGCGCAAAAACAACGTGCTTGAACCATGGTCGGCCGTCCAGACCCTCGGGGTATAGGAACTTCCTTTCCAGCAGCTTGTACTTGGTGTTGATGGTGCGGATAGCAAGGTAGAGCTTGACCTTCTCCCAAGGCTTCCACCATGGAATATCGTTGTTGTAGTAGTCAAGAAGGAGCTGGGCGGCGGTGGCATCCTGGATCGCAGCTGCAAAGCGGAAATGCACAAGTGCGTTGTCCATCGCTTCAAAGGCATCATCTTCCTTGTCGCCGTATTTGGCTTCTTTTGCCTTCTGTTTCACACTGTCGACGTAACTATCCAGTCCGATGCTGTATTCAGTCGCGTTCAGCTGGAGCACCGGAGTCTCTATCAGTCTCGCAGCAACGAGGCCCCAGAGTTTTGCAATTGTCGCGTGGTATTGGAAAGAAGGGTCTCCGAAGCGTTCCATCCAGTCCATGGAGTCGTAGTTACTGTGGTAGTGGTACACAGCTGACTTCGAGTCGAAGCCGAAGCCCATATCCATTGATGGTATACCGGCGAAGTCTTGGAAGGCCGTAAAATCGCTGCCCGAACCCATCGTGTCAATAACCTTGTCCCAGGCTTCGTAAACAGATTGTCCTTGAACGGTTGTGTTGGGCGAGGTGACAAGTTTCACTATCTTGGTTAGTCAAGGACTTCAATGTTGTGTGGGATTTCCTTACAGGTTTCTTGCACCACCTGATTCAACAGAGGTGCCGCAGCCAGCTTGAAGTCAGGTCCGTCCGTCGCAACATCGACATTCAAATATGCGACTGTAGATCCCGAGAGCCAGGGCAAGTACTCCTCCACCCATTCAGTGCTGCCAATCAAGCCATATTCTTCGCCGTCCCAGCTTGCAAACACAATCGTGCGCAATGGCTTCCAGCCTGTTTGTAGAGCCAAGCCAAAACTCCTAATGACTTCGTTGAAGGCAGCAGAGCCACTGTTCGGGTCTCCGGCTCCTCCAGCGATCCAAGCATCGCGATGGTTTCCCAGAATCACAACTTCATCAGCCAGTGTGCCGTTGATCACACCAATAACATTCCACAGTGGTGTCGTTGTATATTCCTGTTCGTTTACTAGGTTGAGCACCAAGTTTTCAGGTGAAGGACCGATGTTGTATTTGACGCCTTTGTATGCCAATCCACCAGTCTGCCAGCTCTTTCCAAACAAGGTCGCCTTAGGGCCGTGGCTGTTGAGCGCCTTGAGTATAGGCAGCGCGTCTTCGTAGGATATGGGGATCGATGGGATCTGCGGGATCGCGTTGTTGGTAGGCTGGCGAGGCGCGCCAGGCTTGGAGGGATAACCAGGTGTGGTAGGGTCGCCTGGAGCGAAGCCTGTGATGTGTTAGCATTCGGATGTTTGTAGCAGCAGAAGCATCATACTGAGGAACTGAACACTCCCACGCTGGACGCTGCTTGGCTCTCGGGCAGGCCCTTCGGGATACGGCGCAATGCCCTTCTCTTCAGTAACCTCGCCGTCGTCTCCAGGGTCAGTGTAGATGACACATCCAATCATGCCCAGTTCCTGCGCGCGCTTGACCTTGAGTCCTCGGAATACGCCACCGTATCTTGCCAGTGCAATCTTTCCGTCTAGGCTGACGTCTGCTGCCAGCAGGTCCTCAAAGTCCTGGAACGTGCCGTAATTGACGAACACGTATTGCGCCGTCACGTTGCCCGAAGCACTGTAGCCGTGGAAGGTGGGTATGCGGTCTACAAGCTGGCTCGACTTATCTTCCTCCAGCACATTCTCCTCCAGTCGTGCCTCGTATGTGACCTTCCACTCGCCCTCAGTCGGCGCATGACTGTCGCGCGCTTCATCCTTGTCGTCGCCCTTTTCCAACAGTGCCAATCGATGGCTTTTCGGGTAATTGATATACACATCGTAGTCTACGATGGAGCTTGCAATGCCAAACTCTTGCCACCTCTGCATCGTCCACAGGGCCTGGCTGAGGTTCTTTCCTGCCAGATGCGGCCCGCTCGTGTAGTACCTGCTCCAGGACCGCGCCTGCTCCGCATCCGGCGTATTCAAGAGGATGCTCTGCAGCTCTTCATATCCCGCCGTCGTCTTGTGCATCCATCCTTCTGGTATCTGCGAGGCGGAGAACAGCGACTGTTTTGAGACGGGCGCAGATTCGCGGTGGTCGTCAAATGACCCGAGACTGAAGAGTATAACGGCGGCAAGTCCGCCTCCAAAGACGAGAGTGCTCAGGATCGAAGTGCATATGAAGCGGAGTCGATGGTGTGGGTATCGGTCGCGGTGGGGTCGCACGTCTACGTGCTGGATGAGAGGCGTGCGTTCGTCGGACATGGTGGCTGTGGCCTTTTCATTGCTTGCCGGAAGCTGCATGAAAGGTAGAAGTTTGCAATGAAGCACCAATCACAACGATTGAGGCGTGTTGTGTCTAGTGTGAAGCTTCGTGAACGACTTGAGACGGGCTTGGGTGCATAGCGTCATCGGGCCCTGTCAGTTCGTATTCGGCTGCAGGCGCGGAGAGCCACCAAAGTTCCCCACGAACCATGCATCCAGCACCCACTAACGTGTCATCGCCTTATCTCGACATCGTTTGCCGACACGCAAATCGCGGCTGCAGAGATTGTCACAGTCTCAATGGGCCAGCACTTACTTCCAGTTGATCAATTAACGTCACTGCTTGACCCCACGCATCCACGAAGGGTCGTCCAAATGTGCACGCCATTGGCAGCTTTCTTCATCTCATTACAACCTATTCCATCTTCTGGGCTTTCAATATCGGACTCTGAGTCCTTCAAAAACAGCACTGACCTTCGTGTGTGGTCTTAGCAGGCTAATGATGTATAAAAAGGCAGACATCACGAGCATTCCATTACATTCAGCATCTTTAGGCTTTATCCCACAACTCCATGCCCTCTTTCCTCATCCTCTTATACCAGTTCTTCACATACTCCAACCCCACATGCGGGCCATACGGATCCTTTTCCCACTGTGGCCGCGGTGGCTTCAACCCCGTCTCCTCCTCGCATTTCGCCATCAACTCGCGAATCGTGCCTCCTCGATTGTAGCCTTCCATATCGATAGTCTTCACGCGATCTGCTTTCATTTTCTCGCGAAGCTCGGTGGTCGCGCCTTCGTTGACGCTGAAGTCGGCTGGCCGCACGACGACGCCGTAGTTCTTCGCCGCGCCGGACACGGTGACAAGGCGCCTGTGGACTTCTTGTGCGACGACGGTCGAGGGCCGGGTTAGGGGGTCGCCGAGACCACCACCGCCCCAGGTTATCCATTCGAGAACGTCGCCTGTGATCAAGTTAGTATAGGAGAACATGAGATGATTAATGCAAATTATGACCTACCAGGATAGACATGAAGGTAATCTTGCTTCGACTGGCAAAGCTCAATGTTGTCCTTTTCCCTGTCTGTGCCATAGCTGTTGTTTCTGTAAAGGATCTTCCTCGATCTGCTTCCTGGCATGCCTCCATTGACACCCCAGGGCTTTATCATCCACCTATCGTCGTGGATGCTGACATCACCTTCGCAAAGCCATCTGTACAGCGTGCGTTGTGCGTTGCCACCTCGGTAGAATCCAGCGCCTCCAGAGTCGGGCAATGCTTCGTTTGCTTCGATGATGACAGGGAAGTAGAGCTCAATATTCTCCGCAGGTATGGACTTGATGGCTGGGAAGAGGCAGTGACAATCTGGTCCGTCTCCGATTGGTCGAGCAGGTACTCCTCCGAAGCCAATCTGATACAAGAGGTAAAACTCGCCGTCGGGCTTGAAGCCAGAATAAAACAGATGAGGGGAGTCAGAGAAGCCTGCTGCACAACGGTAGGCTGCATTCCTTTGACCAAATAGCGCCTGCATGACGTCCATTACACGGCCTAGAAGGTGAGTCCTACAACTGAGCGCTGCAGGTCGTACCGGCCGCAGGATGGTACCAGTGGGTATCTTGATGTCAATGAGGTCGTGGAAGCCGTCATTGACGACGGCATGAGGGTCGTAGATGGCCAGTAAATAATACCCAATGAACATTTTGAACATCGTGATCGAAAGGTAGTAGTTCATCGACGTATTGGACTGCGGTGAAGTACCGTCCCAGTCAAACACCAGCTTATCGCCTTGTTTCTGCATCGAGCATGCAATCGCGTAAGGTCCGATACCGTGGCCGTCATCATCGATGAAGTCCGTGAATGACGACCTGTCGCTCCCAATCTTCTCGTCGATGATTGTCTTGATTGCAGCTCGATTCTGGTCCAGAAGATAGTCCGTCGCAGCCTCGTACACCGCGAGCCCATATCGCTCACAGAGCTCGTTGACTCGTGTGGCTGCTGTCCGACAAGCTGTCACCAAAGCGATCAGGTCGGATTGGAACCACTCGGGCATACGCGAGTTTCGGAAGAAGAGAGACGCGAGGCCCTCGTTGTATACGCCCTTAGCATACAGCTTGCAGATGGGAATTTGGAGTCCGTCTTCGTAGATGGTGCTAGCATTGATACTCATCGATCCCGGCACTTTGCCTTGAACATCGGTCAAGTGCCCAAAATTGGCTGCCCAGCCAATAAGCTTGTGCTCGAAGTAGATCGGCAGTAAGATGATGACATCGTTTAGATGGGATACAGCGCCATCGATCTGGTAGACGTCGTTGGTGACGAAGATGTCGCCTTCTTCGATTGTACCTTTCCAGCCGTTCAAGAACTGCGTGATGAAGCTACCAAATTGACCGACGAGCATTTGGCCGCGGGTGTTTGTGATGACGTTGAACTCGTCTTGTTGCTCGCGGATGGCCGGACTCATGGCGCAACGTAACATGAGAGTATCCATCTCGCGTCGTATCGAGCCCAGAGCGGAAGCAATGAGTGTGGAGATGAGGGGTGTCTCTTGTACGAGCTGCTTGGCGGCTTCCTTGGTATGCACAGTCTTCTCATCAGACTTCTTGTCTTCAGGCCAAATGAGAATGTTGCCCATGGAGTCCACTTCACCAAAATGACCTGGAAGAATGAGGGTGTTCGAGTCCATCTCTGTGACGACAGCAGGGCCAGGGATCTTAATGCCGGCCTTTGTGATCTTGGTACGGTCCCAGAATGTAGCTTGAACTTTCTTGCCTTCGTATACAATATCCTGCTTTAAAGTGATAGCATCCTCCGGAGGACTTGAGCTGTCAGCCTTTAATGAGATAGGTTTGATTGCGACCTCTTCAGAGGCATCAATAACCTTGGCTCGCATTCGCATAGTTTCAAGTTCGGCATCCGCATGCGAGAAGCTGAATTGCTGCTCGTGGGCTTCGTTGAACTTGGTCCGAAGGTGTTGCAGTAAAGCACTGGTGTTGTGGACTTCTTCTTCGCTGAAATCGACCGTGAGAGTCATCGCCTGACCCTTGTATCGCATGTCAGATTGAAAGACGACCTTGAGTTTCGCTTGCTGATCTGCAAGTGCCACTTTCATGGTTCTCCATGCAACTAGTCTTCAGGTCGCCAAGTGTCTTGGTCAGGTCTTCCGCAGTAATCTCGGAGAATACCTTGATGTAAGTGCAGCTCTCCTCATGTGACATCTTGGTTGTAGCATCGCCTTGAGCACACAGCACACCAGGACTTGGGGGAACGATGACAGGCCACGACCCAAGTAGTTTTCCGAGCGAATTTGCGTGGAGAGGACCGGCTCCTCCAAATGCAACCAGCGCAAAGTCACGGGGATCATAGCCTTGCTCGACTGAGACGAGACGCAGAGCGCCGTGCATACTCTCGTTGACTAGATCAATGATACCTTCTGCAGCTGAAGTCATCTCGAGACCCATTTGTTTGGCGATGTTCTCCACTGCGGCAGCTGAGGCAGCGACATCGAGCTGGAACTTGCCGCCTAGGAGCTTGGAAGGGAGATAGCCCAGTGTCAGGTTTGCATCAGTGACAGTTGCTTGGGTTCCGCCTTTGCCATATGCTGCAGGTCCAGGAGTTGCACCGCTCGACTCCGGTCCTACGCGGAAGTTCTTGGTGAATTCATTGTACATCGCAATCGATCCTCCACCGGCACCTACAGTTCTTACGTCGACTGAAGGCGCCCTAACAGATAGATGGCCAACTTCGGTTTCACGGCGAATGATGGCATCGCTTCCGGAGAGAAGAGCGCAGTCCGTACTGGTACCGCCCATATCAAAGGTGATCAAGTTCTTGAAAGGCGTGTTCTTTGCTACCAAGTGCGAGACAGCCTTGACACCACCAGCAGGTCCACTCATCAAGATCTTGACAGGGGTTTCTCCAGCTAGATCCACCGAAGTCAAATCGCCACATCGGATTTCAGGATGCGAATTGTGTCTGTGTCTTTCTCGAGCATCTTCTGCAGATTCTTCATATATTTTTTGACGACTGGCTTCACAATCGCGTTGGCTGTGGTGGTAACTGTGCGCTCATATTCCTGAATTTCTGGGAGCACATCCGTCGAAGTGACGACTTCAACATCTGGACCGAATTCGTCGGTCAATATCGACCGCACCTTCTCTTCATGCACACTGTTCGAGAACGAATTGAGCAGCGAGACGGCAATCGCCTGTGGTTGTTGCCTTTTGAGATCCTGTAGATTTTCGCGAAACTCTTTCTCATCCAACTCATAGAACACTTCACCGTCAATTTTTATGCGCTCTCTGACTTCGACCGTTCGCTCCAATGGCACAAGTGGCTCTGGCTGGACATAATTTATCCATGCTCCGAGACCACCGGGAATTTGACTTCTCCGAACCGTCAATATATCCTTGTGTCCCCTTGTGACAATCAAGCCACACTTTGCGCCTTTGTTCTCGAGCACCGCATTCGTGCCGGTCGTGGTGCCATGGTGTATGTATTCGAACTTGCCGTCCCAGTTGTACTTTTCTTTCAAAATATTACGCGCTTCTACGACGCCTTCGTGGACACCAATTGACTGGTCGCTCGTGTTCGTGGGGACTTTCGTGCGTACTGTTGGAACGTGGTAGTTGGCATGAGTTGCAGAAGGATAAATACACCACACTTACCAGCTTCCCCATCCGGGGTGATCACGCACACATCTGTGAAAGTACTGAGGATTCGTTAGCATCTTGCAAGCAAGACGGTCTACGTATTTCTAGGCGGCATCGAACCGATTAGGGTCCCTCTAGGTATACAAAATCGACGACGACTTGTTCGTGGGCAGCGCGGAAGTTGGAATCAGCACTCACCCGCCCACATCAACACCAAGCCTGTAACCCGCCATAGCAAAGGAGCTGTTTCCGAATCAATCGAATAGCAATCGACGCTCAAGTACCAGTCAGAAGCGGCTGTAGCATGTTATAAATCTCTAGTTCTTGGAGAAACTGCGACACGCCGAGCTGGAGCCGGGGTCTGTGGATGCCATTGCTGCTGGTGGCCTTTCCTACTTAATCAGTCTCCATCCACGCATTCGGTAGCAGCCAACCGACATTACGAAGCCGCTCACTTCTTGCAGCGGAGTTTGCGCATGTCTGGCGATAAGCTTGAATGCGTCGATCTATCACAGATGGGGCTACGCTGCCGTCTGAAATGAGGGGTCAACATCGGAACGCTATTGCCGTTGGGTATTTGGAAACCGGGGAAGTAGCAGGGGAATTTTAATCATCTCGATGGATCGTAGATTCTCAGGCATCATGAGTAGACGTATGCAGCTTCAGGAGACACCTTTGAAGCTCTCAAGTTGTGGTGTCAGAAGCATGACGTACGCCACCACGCCCGCACTTCACCCCGCACGTGTGGTGATGGAACGATTCATCCGAAGAACGCGTACGTGCATTGTCAATGGATCTCATTGGCGGTACTATGCTCCGACTATAGCCACACTTAACGGTGTATTTCGCTACTGCTCATACAATCCTGGAATGGATGTATGCATCCACATCACGTGATAGCGCGACGGATTCAAATCTCGAAGTGCATGTACCCCTCTGGTTCAGAGGTATATGCAGGCAAGCAAAGCATACCGGCATGGGGGCATTTACTCTATTGAGTATCAAGCTCGACAGAGCAAGATGAAATCGAAAACTTCATATTTCACGTCCCGGGCGTGCACAGCTGCAACAAACATCTCGACTACCTAGGTACGTACATTACTAGAATGCACATCCCCTACCTTCCAATTCATTCAAGCAATACATTTCCCTTCTTCCTTCCGCAACACGTGGGCAGTTCCCCAACAGCGCTCCCACAAATCCATAAACATGGTACCGTCGGAACAAACCCTCCCTACACTACAACATCGCCAGCTCACATGCTCACCAGCGGTTCAGAAAGTCCCGATAACACCCACCTGTCCATCGTTCGCATTGAATGCGGATCGCCCGTCCGTGCCCAGGCGCAGGGTTGCCAGAAACGTGCGTAGCCGTTATCTACCATGTTCGGCTATGAGCAGCCGATCTGTCTATCTCGACGACAGCGATTGGGTTGGCGCGAGGAAGCAAGCTCGGCAAATCGATGAGCCTTGAGGAAGGCTGGACTGATGCATGTGATCCTTTGGATGAGAAGGGTGCTTGTTTGGATTTACAGAAATTCGTAAGATGTGTAATATGGTATCTGCGCTGCGTACTGCGAAGTCGTGTAGGGTAGGACATGCGCTTCGGCTGCAGCACGAACCATGCATGTGGATATCCTATGCTAGGCTTATCATCAAGTTCGCTTCCCAGCTTTGGGGCTGAGATATCTTGCGCCTGCTGGGTTGGAGATAAGGTTGCCAATGAGATGTGTCCATCACATTGTGTATCAAGCCAGGAACATGATCGGAATCCCAGTCAGACCCATTCAATCGGTTACTATAAATCATGGGTTGTATCTGTACCTTTGGATCGGCTTGTATAGGATTTCCACGTGGTTGGCAGGTTGTATCAGACACCCCACTTCGACTTCGATACTTGGTCAATCTACCTGGAGTATCGCGGGCTGAGAGTGCTTCGTAGCAAGCTGAACGGATACGAAGCAAATTCCACACTCGAGGAAACTATACCTCAGGATGGCGTCCGACGAGAAAAAAGAGATCAGCGTTGTTCCCCAGAGTCCACCTTCCAGCATCCGAGTTGGCTCCATCAAGCTCGCCGCTGCCGGCGATGACTTTGAAGTCTTCAAGCAAACGACCGATGGAGTCCAATTCCGCCTCGTTGGCTGGATCAAAGCCAGCGTGATATTCTTGAAACGTAAGTTGCCCTTCCATATGCATCTATTCATAGGGCCTCATCAACCCTTTCCTATGGGTTGAACCACAGGAAGATTTCAACAGACCCTCTGTCATCCTCTACTCCATCCATGAGGTCAGCCACCTAACACCCCCCAGTAATCTTCGCCACCGGGCGTCCTCAGCATCCCAACCGCAATGTACGGCCTTGGGCGCTGTCGGCGGCGCCCTCAGCGTAATCGGCTGGGGGCAGCCTTAAACACATACTTCGCCATCGTGCAAGGCAACTTCCGCAACTCGCACGCGCAATGTCACTCCATCGCCGACATGGCCTACGTCGTCGGCGGGCCCGTCGTGCGCGAGATCTGCGGCTTCCTCTTCATCGTCGCGTACGTGCTGTGCGCGGGTTCGGGCATTGTGGGGCTGAGCGTCGGGTTCAATGCGTTAAGTGAGCACGCGGCGTGTACGGTTTGGTGGGCGCTATTGGCGTATGTCGCGGTTGTGGCGAGCGCAAGTGTGAGGAAATTTGAGAAGATTGGGTGGTTGTGAGTCGCGTACTTCTGGCGTCGAGGGAGTTGGACTGACAAGCGTGATGCAGGTCTTGGGCGGGCTTTGCGAGCGTGTATGTTGCCGTCTTCGTCGTTGTTGTAGGTGTGACGACGCGCGATCGACCTGCAGCTGCACCGCCGGTGGGCGAGTATGATTTCGGATATCATGCGATTGCGTATCCGTCGTTCATGGTCGGGATGACGGCATCAGCCACGATCTTTGTGTCTTCGGCTGGGACTTCTGCTTTCTTGCCTGTCATCAGTGAGATGAAGGTACGGCTGGTCCAAGCTACTCGTCTTCCTTTCATTCAACTGACGCACTGCACTCATTAGAACCCGCGCGACTACAACAAGTCCGTCTACCTCTGCATGTCCATCGTACAAGCCTCCTACCTCACCTTCTCACTCGTCGTCTATGCCTACTGCGGAAAATGGGTCACCGACCCCTCTCTCGGATCCGCCGGCCCCTTGATCAAGAAGATTGCATACGGAATCGGTCTGATTGGGCTAATGGTATCCGGCTGCCTCTACCTGCACGTCGCCGCCAAATACGTTTTCGTACGCATCCTCCGTAACTCACCCCATTTGCAGCGCAACAGCGCGATTCACTGGGGCACGTGGTTCGGATGTACGATTGGTCTTGGTAGCTTGTCGTTTGTGTTGGCACAGGCGATCCCAATCTTTAGCTTCCTGATTGCGTTGACAGGAAGTGTGTGTTTTGCGCCCATTGCGATCTGCCTGCCCGCGTGGTTGTGGCTCCATGATCATGGAGACTGGAAGCGCGGCGGCGTCATGAAGAAGGCGGCGTACTATGGTCATTGGCTGTTGATCCTGCTTGGCGTGTTCTTGTGTATTGGAGGAACGTATGCGGTGATCAACAGTATCATCACGTCGTATGCGAGTGGATTGATTGGCAGCGCATTCAGCTGTGCAGATAATTCAGGGACTGTACATTGACGACGATAGCTAGACGGAGAACCTGATGCAAGACTGGTTAAGATTTATTAGCGACGTAAACATCAAACACGTGCTATAGCATTTGCATTGCTGCCTCTTACCTCGCCTCCATACCTTGACGTTCATGAGCTAGTGAACAAACTCCACTTATACTATCGCGAGGCGGACACTTGAAATGCATTTGAGATGATGCCACGTGGATGGATATGGGGGAAGTGATGAATTTCATTTTCTTCCAAGAATGTACCGAAAACGCCTCGCTATGCTGAGTGGGTATCAAAAGGGATGTCCGGTAAAAGTAGAAAATCAAAACGCCCATGGATGTGTTCCGTCCAGAGATCAAGCACCAGGCAAGGCTTCCACAAAGCAAGGCATGTTCGGCCATCGATCCTGCCATGCTGCGAGAATCTCTGGTACTTTTTCGTCAAAGCCTGTACGAGCAGCACCGCCGCCTTGTTCCCAGCCACTCTCGCCATATGCTTCCCGTTCTTTGGCAGCAGCCTCATTCAGACTCAGTGCAAGATCCAGTATGGCTTTACCACCAACGAGGGCCTCTTCGTGGTTGTCTTTGATGTCAACATTGAAGACATGGACAGGGCGATTAAGCTTGCCACCCTTATTATGGAGGTCCTCAAGCACAGCATCAAAGCAGCGCTCTTCACAAGTGATCACGACATCAGCGACGCCAGACTCGGTTCCTTGGAATCCCTTGTCTTCTGCATGTTCTAGACGGGGCTTTCCGGGCACCCAGTCCTGGAAGCGCTCGGGGAAGCCTTTGATGTTGAGGTTGCGACCGAGCATGTTCAACAAGCCGTTGTGGGTGTAGAGCGCGGTATTCTGCTGAGCAAGCTCATCGTGAATGGCACGGTAGGTGGTACTATTGAAGTGGTACACGTTGGGTTGCATGGCAGTTGGGCCAGGCAGACGCACTAGTGATCCTGTGCCAAATGAAATGGTGGGAAGATGTGCAGAGGCTAGCTGAAGATGTGCTTCCATAGAGCTACTGATGTCAATAGAGATCATGGTGAGAGGTGATGTGGGACATACCGGTTCTGGTTACTGGCACACACGGTGCAAAACTTCAGCTTGAACTTATCGTCGGGCACAGAGTTGCTCTCCGCGTGTGCATCATTTGTGCCGTCCATACCCATAGATGTAGGCTCAGCTGGGGGTGGCGGTGGAGGTGGAGGGGCAGGCGAAGGCTGTTGTTGCCGCGCCCTCAATCGCGGATCGACCGACATGATGAAGAATGAAGAGGTCGGAGCGACTATCAGGGCAGAAAACTCTTCATCAACGTTAGCCAGCGCTCGCAAATGTTATGCTAACAACAAAGTGACGGTAGTGGGAGATCAGAATTTTCAGTGTATATTATTTGAAGTCCTCAAAGGCTAGTGCCTAGGACAGCTCCAATAAGGTAATCATCATCTCAGACGCGGAGGGTTGCACGGTGCAGACTTACAAGACAGATACAAGAGACTACTTAGAGGCTCAACTAGTGGGGGGTAGAAGCATGAAGAGAATTGGTAGTGGTGTGGGTGGAGGATGGCACCGGGTGCCTGTCCTTTGGTGTGGTTGTTGTGTGCTGCAGGCTTTGAGGTCGACAAAGCTTCGCAGCTAGCGCGAGATTATATAAGCACGGCAACTGCCGGAAATGCGATGGCGGGGCATGAACACTTCAACTTTGGAGGCGTTCGCAAGAGGGTTCAAGCCAATATCAAACTACAGAGTGTCTGACAGCGGCTCATTTCCTGTTCCTGAAAGGCGGTGGGTCATAGCATTGCATGGTATAGCAGATGGTGGGATGGCATGGGAATGTTTTTGCGCGATGTGCCATGCCAAACAGGATGAGCCCAGTCAACATGCAATCAGCAGCACATGCTACGTAATCCGGACCCCAGTTTTCATCAAGAGCGCCATTTGGCTTGAGCAACAATTTCCTGACATGACGACTCGGGCGCACATGTCCCAGGAGCTCCTTGCCGTCCCGTGGACAACTCCAGTGAGCAGTGCGCCATTCGTCCTGGTCCGGTTAGGCCGCAGGATCCTGAAACATGCACGTGAGGAGGCTAGGGTCAATGCAGTCAGGCCTCACAGCAAGACAAGCAGAGACGGAGAGCCGCGAAGTCACAGGCCCTCGATCTGGCCAGCCAGGCGTAACCTGTCTTGTCGAGGCCCACCAGCTGTACACGTCCAAAATCGCTGCAACGCTCTCTGCATGATTGCTCATTCTATCGTGGCCGCGCTGGTTGACGTGCATGGGAGAGCCTGAAACATTGAATCGGCGTCTAGCACATCCCCGCTGTCTGTCTAATAAGTCTAATAATAGCCTGGCAGCACACGCGCTCCGCTCTATACAAACCACAACACCCGTAACCGACGTCCTCGACCTCACTGACACTGCGCCCACCCGCCCACGCTCGAAGCCCCTCTGGCACCTCTGCCAACTCGCCTGTTTCGAGGCCCGCCCGCACTCGCGCAATCCTTGGCTCTCTCTTCACTGGGTAAGTGTTAGCGCCAGACTCGACCCCCACAGCAGCCATCGACCCCGGCGAGCGCTTCCCCAACCGCTGCCCACTGCAAATATCTTCATCCCCGCCGGTGTTTGTCCCAATCGCCGGGCGCATATTCGCTGCGGCTACTTTTCCAGAAGCTGTCCGGCGCCGTCTGTCGGCCCATTGGTTGTCTGCACCCGCGAAACATTGTGGGAAACATTGAGCCACTGCGCCATCAGCCGTAACCGATCCCCAGGAGCCGCCTCTCAGGTACCGCGTCTCTGTGATTCGAGAGCACCGTGTGCGCCTTGTGCGCTGCCGACGGCAGGCTTTCTTCCTTCTTCACCACTACCGGTACGCCCAACCTGGACCCGCCAGTTCGTCTGCACCGCGCGCCGCCTCAACACCACCTTCTCCAACACCAACACCGACACCACCACCACCACCACACCGCAGCCCGCGGCCGCTACTCCCCTATTTCACTGCTGACGACCCAGACACCACCGCACCAGCAATCCGCCGCGCATGAACGCCACGTCTTCGCCGCCAATCCTCGCCGCCGAGACGCAACGGCTGGATAACATAACCGAGGGTGTCGAGGCGAGAGGGCGAGAGCGATACTCGCAGCGACACGACATCATGGCCGCCGACGTCTTATCCCCGCGCAGCGAGCCTGGCTCGGCCACGTCTGTTGGCGCAAACCGAACCACGCTGCCCCCACTAGTCACATCCCCGCCATCGCGGGCAAAACTCGAGCGGGCCAGCTCCTACCTGAACAAGCGCCTGTCCACCTTCTCCAACACATCCAATGCCCCGCAGCCAACGCGTTCGCGGCCACAATCGACGGCCTTCCCGATTTTCCACTCGAGCCTCGACTTTACCCTCGTACGGGACTTTGCATACGACCCGCTGCACCCACTCTTCTACGGCCCTCTGCCTGACCAGCCATCCGACATCTCTACTCCAGCGAGCGAAGTAAGTCGGCGATTATCAGATCCGCCACCTGTGGCATGGCGCACCGACCGCGGCAATTGGTCAGCAGGCTCCTGGGATGCGACAGGCGAGCAACTCCCGCAGATGGCATACGGCGACGGACCGCCCTACAGTGAGGACGAGGACATTTCCAGCCCAGTGGTCACGAGCCACCACGGCGCGCGGCACAAGAAGCACAAATCGAACATTGTCAACTTTGACCACACGCGGGGCAGGAGGGGCTATCCCGAGGAACAACGGAGGGCGCCCCTCGCTGTGCCCAATGGCGAGGAAAGCCCCGCTGGAGATGCCAGCGAAGCCAGCGGCCAAGGCTACATCACCTACCCACCAACAGCCTCAAATCTTTCGGTGCCCGAAGGCGCGTCACGGCGAGACTCGCACTTTGCAGCACTACTCCCCCGACGCACATACGCCGAAAACGAAGGCCCTGCCTACGAGTCAGACGAGGAAATGTCAGAGCCTGGAGACTACATTCAGGACGACAGCCGCTTTTCACGGGACTATCAATTCACCATTGCTTCACCAGACGAAGAGATGCATGGCAAGGCAGTAGCGCTTTTCGACTTTGCACGAGAAAACGACAATGAACTACCTCTTGTAGAAGGACAGGTCATTTTAGTGTCATACAGGCACGGCCAGGGTTGGCTGGTTGCTCAAGACCCCAAGACTGGGGAGAGCGGACTGGTGCCCGAGGAGTACGTGCGACTGCTTCGAGACATCGAGGGAGGCTGGAATGGCCTCATGAATGGCAATCTGCACCCCCAAGAAGCCAACCCCGCAGCGCCTGAGAGTCTGCTCAGTCCCATCTCTGCCGGCCCTGAAGCTAAGACACCCACGCAAGCCGACCACACCTCGTCCTACACGCCTATAATCTCGACATTTTCGACGAGCCACAAGGACCTCGAGCCGTATCCCAAAGAAAAGCTCACCACACCCACTGCCGGCGAAGGAGAGACCACTGGCAAAGCGCGAGAAGGCGGCCCAATGGAGGGCGTGGAAGGGACTCCCGAGCCAACACCGCAGCCCCAAAAGTCATGACACCAAGTCCAACCTTGAAACCAACTCTTTTCTTCACTGGTTCTTCTTTTTAAGATTTCCCAGATTCGCCGAACGCACGAGTCAACACCGGCCCGAAATAAAAATGCTGACACGAGCGACGAACGATCGACACTTGTTTTATCCTGCAGCCCAACGCAAATGGGATGGACGTCGTTTTAACGTTTCTTCGCAAAACGGTCAGACGTTCATCTTTTTCATACCAGACTCGCCTGGATTCTACCTATGAGAGGACCGGATCCTGGAAGTGTTTTTTCTTTGGGCAAATCTTCACGACATTCGCTTCACCAAACGTGTCTTAACTGGTCCTCATTGATTTAGCTTTTGCATTTGCCTTGGAGTCGGGAAACCCGGAGTGCGCCATGCCGGCGAGAGGGGGCTAAGAAGGAGCGCGCGGCTTTTGTAGTTGTACCGATTCTATTGTTTTTTTAACTTTTCTGTTTACCTTTGACGATGTATGGCTGGGATTCGACTAGGATGATATATGCCCGGCCAGGATGATGGATGATGAAGGATGGATGGCATTTTGATGGCATGCATGTGGGTGGGAAACCACGTGCGGTCTTGCAAGGCAAAGCACGGTAAATATCGAAATGCTCAAAGTTAATATCTGACTTGTTCGCTGTGCTTGTGTGGCGCGATGTGAGGAGGAGGCGGAGGCAAACGCACCAATCTGGAAATGCGACAGACAGCGTGGAAAAATGATAACCATTGAGGCCGTGACATGTACTCCAGTCGCACTACCTTATACAACCCATTCCTATCAGCCGCATATCATGCTTACGAATCGCCCAAACGCCCCCGCTATCCTGACAACAAGGCATAAAAAACAAGGTAATAATACTATACAAGAAAACTTATCCAGCCATCAAAGCGTCGGCGCCTTCCTCAACCCACGACAGTACCGCACATGCAACGCGTCGATGAAATGGCTATGCCTGATCCCCGGCGGCCTCTGCTGCTCAAAGTGGTCAATCGCATCTTCCACGCGATATCCACAGCGCTCAATAAGATACGACACGAGGAAGAAGCCGGTGCGATTGAAGCCATAATGGCAATGCACTGCGATGAGTCCCGGGCGCTTCTCGGCTCTGATCTTGTCCACGAGGTCGATGAAGATCTTGACCTCATCAGCTTGCGGCGGCTGTTTGGAGACCGTGGGGAATTTATGGTATGGGATGCCGTTATCCTCGAGGCCTTTGGGGTCGTAGACGGGGTTGTCGTGCGAGATGTCGATGACGGCGGAGATTTGGCCGGCATATTTTTGCGCGACGACTTTGGGCGTGTGTTCAGCATCGACTTCGCGGAGGGTCTTCATGGCGCGGAAGACGCCAGCGATGGGCTCCGAGACGGGCGGCACGGCTTGCCATTTCTGCAGGTTTTTGACGTCCCATTTGCCTTCGGTTGAGAGGTACTGGAGTTGCCAGGCGAGCGAGAGGCGCGGATCGATGTGGTCTGCAAAGAAGCTACCGATGAGGCCAGAGATGATGCGCGAGGTGGAGGGCGCGAAGAGTAACGAGTGTGCTGCGGGCTTTGGCATGATCGCAGTCTTTACGACCAGGCGTCGCGGATGCGGCTCAGGGTGGTTGGACGTGGGCCTCGTTGCATCAGAGATGAGCGACGCATCAGCCGTCGATGTGCTACAATCTGTAATCGTGTCTCCACCGCTTTCAAAGTTATCAGTGGTCGGTGTCATAGTACTGTCATCGTCTGTGATCCTTGGTAGGTCGTTCGCGTCAATGCCCGAGTCCTGATGCTTGCGCGGCAATTGCGCAGATTGAAGTAGTATTGGATCGAAAGGTGCTGCTGCGATAGGCAGACTGGCCTTTTCACTTGGCGGCTCAATGGCAGCAACATCCCTTCCGAGGAATTCTAGAATGCGTCTGACATTCGAAATGGGCGTGACATGGTCCGCTTCGCCCCCAGCAAGGAAAGTTGGGATGTTCAGCCCTGCCCAAGTTTCTCTCCCCGGCAGACCTCTATTTTTCCGACTAGGACACATGCCGCACACCATACGTTGCCAAACGGGTGTCTTGCTCTGTTTGTTGAACCGTAGTTGCAGCCGTTTTGTCTCTTCCTCGGCATCCGCTCCTGTCATGCGAGCGACACTACTGCTCTCGATGCCTCCTCTTCGGTCCCATCTTCTAAAAAGTTCGAATACGAATGTTGGTACACGTGCAGCACGACCAGCTTTAAGCTGCTGCTCTTTATTGAGTGGATCCGATTGCGGACAAATAGCGATGAGGCCAGCGACGTGTTTTGACAACAGTTCTGCATGTGGAGATGTGGGTGATGCTAATAGCGCAGCGAGGGAGCAACCCATGCTGTGGCCGACCAGAATTACCTGTTGGTCTTCATTGACGGCACGATGGGCTTCTATGACAACGGCAAGAAGGTGGACTAGCGCGTCCGTAGTGTAGGCGTCCCAGTCCTTTGGTGAGAATTCAGAGAGGCCGCATCCTGGAAGGTCGATGGCCAGACATGATGCAAGATTAGTGAGACTGAGCAGGATCGGGTTGAACTGCGCAACGGAACCACCGAGGCCATGGATGAAGACAAGCAACGGGACAGGACATGGTATCCTCGGAAGTTTGCTCTCTTGCGGATGCGGTCGATAGAAGGTCCTGATGCCTGAGTAGGTGCAATTGGTTGATGGCACCATATACGAGCGTATGGTGGAGTGCTTTTTCAATAGTCCGGGATCAGTAGCAGCTGCATCGTCTGCTCCTTGTCAGTGACAGCTTCAAGCAAAGGCTCATCCACTGCAGCGGGTCCACGTGACCCAACGTGTGTCGCGCAGATCGTCTGGGGCTCTCTTACCGGCAGCATCTGCATGCTGTTTGTCGGCAGACAAGGGGCCGGTCCTGCTCTTGTTGTTTCTTTTGCTCCATAACCAGATTGCCGATCCGATACCACAGAAAGCTGTCAACTTGACCATTCCCACAAGCGTCAAAGTCACCCAGCCGTCACTAACTACGAAGGGATTGAGAAGAGAGACCAGACGATAAGCCGGGTTCTTTATATTCCCTGGTCTGTTAGGGTCCGTGACGACCTGTGCTACTTGGGCGCTGGTTGGTCCGGCAAGAGCAGTCTTCAGCAGCAAGACGAGGGCCTGTGGAAGACGCAACGTGCCATTGTGAGACGAGCAAGGACGCGAATGAGGCTCCATCGCTCTTTGCGTGGCCCAGCGCTGAATGTATATTCAACGGGGCGTGGAGATGCTGGCGGGCGGGCGGGCACGGTGGGCAATCCTCGTACAACGCGGCAGCCAATGGAATGGGGAAATGCAAATCGTGCTCTGATCTCTGGCGGCGGATCACCGGTGCCTGGGAACAACTGGTATGGTGGGATGCGCGCACGTTGAAGACGCAGCGAATGTGCTGCTACGAGTAAACTGGTCTAATTTGCAACGGGATGATGTGCTGGAGTTGTGATGGTCGCATGTTGAAAAGCAATGACGGGCGATAAGGGCCAGCGAAGGGTGATTGGAGTTGACGATGGGCAAAGTGAAGCGATGAGATGCAGACGATGTGAGGAAGATATTGCGCAGGAGGGGGACAGAGCGCGATTGCAGAACATGGAGGATGGCTGTTGCAAGCTGAAAAATGACGTTGGGCTCTTTCCTTTGCGGGTAGACGGGAGCGGCGTTGGGATCGTGTCTTCATTCCTTGGCACAGCGACAGGGCTGTGTCCGAATTGCCCATCGACTGACCCCTGACTATCATGTCCATCACCAGTTCGCTTCTGATCCGACCATGCGACAGACTAATTTGTTTCCTCGATGCCTCCTGAGTCTGCTTCCTGAGTCTTCCATCACGATACACCCTTGCAGGCAATGAGGCTGCCGTAGCCCCGGCCACCATCAAGAGTACCGGCTGACGGCCGTGTTGGCACTCACCACATCTTGGAGCCTTCGCACTCAACGCGTCCTGACTGATCCGGTCAGCTGACCCCCAAGGGAAAACGCACCGGAGCGGGAGGGATGATTGATGGCATTGCGCTCTGATTTGGATCGAGCTTATCCGTCACGTGCTGTCGTCATCGACATTGATGAAGTGATGCTTGAGCTTCCTGGCTTCCGCCATTGATCCAGTTCGGCAATCCTACCTTTTGCTACGCAGCTCACCGCAAAGTCGCATCACGAGTGTCTTGCAGTACATCAAACGCCTCTCAGCCTCCGCCGTTGACTGCACCAAGTCTGGCCAAGTTCCGGTCTTCTTGCCGGCGTCCATGGAGTCGGGATTTGGCCGTAGTCCATGAAGACATGCCCGCCGAGCACCGCAAGCCTGCACTAGCCGGCGCGATCTCCAATCATCGTCTAATCGCTCACGATGCACGACTTTGGTATTGGCTGTCTGTCGTCCCGCAGACCAGGCTAACATGTTGTAGCGCGAGGGGCTGCTGCCATTTTCCTTGTACCCCTCCATCCGAGGATCGTCGAGTCGAGGGAAATGGGTTTGACCGCTGAGCCGCCCCACCAAACGGCGCTGAAGATTGGCTATTGCTTGGTTGCAACTGGGGTACCACCAGCTTCCGACCGAATTTATGGGTCGTTTGGTGACGAGACTGGTCCGCTAGGTACTCGATATCGGCTGGACTATCACCGTATCTCGTCGTAGTCGTCACGCAACTTCACCTTTCATGCACTTTTTGTTCTCTCACTCGTACTCAACAGTATACCAATAGACGAGGCGTCTTTGCCTAAAGTATCCCTCTCCATCAGACCACATATTTCAATTCTTTGCTTCTAAACTCTCCGGTTCAACGCTCTCCCACAATGGATCCGCGCAACCTTGAAAAGCAGCGAGAGCCAGAGGAGCCGCGCTTCCTCACGTTCCCGCATCTGCCAGAGGATGCCATGCGAGATGGCAAGCCTGCGTTGAACAAATACTCGTCTACTCTTACTGCTGGCCATAACTTTCCGGGAGCTCAGGTTCGCCTTCCCAGAAAACAATCCTTCAAATACCTAATCAGCTGACCCTCAATACAAGGCCATGCTTTATGCGGCTGGTGTTCCCTCGAAGGAAGCCATGAAGACACAGCCTCACGTAGGCATTGCGAGTGTATGGTGGGAAGGCAACCCATGCAAGTGAGCAATTTTGAATACCCCACGTTGTCGTCATGGTACTTACAATGCTGCAGCATGCATTGTAAGTTCCCGCATCTGGATATCTACGCCGCACCATTGGTTCCGAGAATGCCAATGCTGCACCGCCACGTGGGATTTTAACATTGACTGAGAACTGCAGTGCTCGACCTGGGAAAGGAGATTAAGAAAAACGTCCAGGCTGACAATATGCTGGCATGGCAGTACAACACTGTGGGCGTGTCGGATGGTATTACGATGGGTGGAGAGGGTCAGTCATCTTGATCCTTGTGTCGCTCCCACCTACTGATGGTGTGCAGGCATGCGCTTCTCTCTGCAGACTCGCGAGATAATAGCAGACAGTATTGAGACGGTCACGTGCGCGCAACATCACGACGCGTGTATTGCCATTCCCGGATGCGACAAGAATATGCCTGGTGTCATCATGGCATTTGCCCGTCACAACCGACCATCGATAATGGTATATGGCGGCTCCATAATGCCAGGCTATTCCGAGACGCTCAAGAAGCCCATCAACATTTCAACATGCTACGAGAAACACGGTGCCTATATCTACAAGAATCTGGAGAGTGCTGAAAAGGGGAAATTTTCGCCAGAGGAAATCATGGATGACATTGAGCGCAATGCATGCCCGGGTGCTGGCGCATGTGGCGGCATGTACACTGCCAACACTATGTCCACGTCCATTGAGGGTAGGTCCCTAATGAACATCCTTCGTATCTCCACTAACAATATCTAGCAATGGGTCTCACCCTACCTAATTCATCCACCACACCTGCCACATCCCCAGCCAAGATGCGCGAATGTGCCAAAGCTGCAGCTGCCATCCGCGTCTGCATGGAAAAGAACATCACGCCCCGGAAACTACTCACCAAGGCCTCCTTCGAGAATGCCCTCGTCATGATGATGGTCCTCGGCGGCTCGACCAACGCCGTCCTGCACATGCTCGCCATGGCCGGTACAGCAGGCGTCCCCTTAACCCTTGACGACTTCCAGCGCGTGTCCAACAAAATTCCCTTCCTCGCCGACCTCGCCCCCTCTGGCCGCTACATGGCTGCCGACCTCTTTGACATTGGCGGCATGCCCTCCGTCATGAAGCTCCTCGTCGCCGCGGGCCTCCTTGACGGTAGCATCCCCACCGTTACCGGCAAGACCCTCGCAGAAAACATCGAGCCCTACCCTTCCTTGCCGCAAGATCAGGTCCTCATCCGCCCCCTCTCCAACCCCATCAAAGCCACCGGCCACATCGAGATCCTACGCGGCAACCTCGCGCCCGCCGGCGCCGTGGCGAAAATCACGGGGAAAGAGGGCTTGATATTCCGCGGTAGGGCGATGGTATTTGACAAGGAACACCAGCTTGACAAGGCGCTGAATGAAGGTCGTATTCCGCATGGCGAGAATATCGTCGTTGTCGTGCGCTACGAGGGACCGAAGGGTGGCCCGGGTATGCCCGAGCAACTCAAAGCCAGCGCGGCGATTATGGGCGCGAAACTCACCAACGTCGCGCTAATTACGGATGGGCGGTATAGTGGTGCCAGTCACGGGTTTATTGTCGGGCACATGTGTCCAGAAGCGGCCGTGGGTGGCCCCATTGCTGTGGTTAGGGATGGGGATGTTATCACTATTGGTAAGTCGTGTTGCAAAGTCGGAGAGAGATGGTGATGGCTAATGTAAGGGCAGATGCGGAGAAGAATCGCATCGATATGGATGTGAGTGATGAAGAGATTGCGGCGAGGTTGAGGGAGTGGAAGGCGCCGAGTATGCCGGTTACGAGAGGTGTTTTGGCCAAGTATGCGAGGTTGGTGGGAGATGCTAGCCATGGTGCGATGACGGACTTGTTTTGAGGAGTGAAGGCGATCGGGTCGTGACAGGCTTGGTGGGAGCTTGAAAGTCTGATCTTGGTTTCGGTAGAGGGCATGGCACGGCGGCAATGCTCCTACCATGAGAAACGATCAGTACGACAGTATGAAGATGTGACAAGACAACAAGCAGATGGCACGTGCAAGTATTGAGTGGGTATCATGTTGCTTTTCAGGCCAAGCCCGCTTCCATTGGAAATCCTAGGCTATGCTGCCCCAGCGAAGTCATGTTCTCAACGCCATAAGCCGTAAACCGTAGATCCGTTACCGCCCCGCAATCAAATGCTAGCAGCTTTTTCCTTATGCAAACGTCTACTCGTCATCCTCCTCCTCCTCAGCCTCGAGGGTGGTCTGCGCAATTCGGTCCAAATCACGCTGGCCGGACTGTGTGATGCGGCGGCCACCTTTGTCCTCATCCTGCTCGAGGACATCAAATCTTCTCAAGAGCTCTGCATGACCTTTGCGGTCGACGGAGCTCGGAGGCGTCAGTGTGGTGGGATGGGCGCGAGCCACGGTCTCTTTGGTGGAGCTAGATTCATCCGTCAACATCCTCGTGACCATTTCGGCATTATAAGCTTCCATACCCGTGAGCCTTGCGCAGGCGG